AATAATATAATAAATAATACCTGCTACAGGTATTTGATAGGGTTGTATTGATCGAGGCGGAAGTACAAATTGATGGATGGTAGTAGACCCATCAAATTCTCCTTTTAGCTTGATGTCAAATATAACTGAAGTCTGCAATTGAGAAGAGGAAATTAGTATTCACAAGTGTGAATTACTCCCCATTTAAATGTATTCAGGCTGATTTTTCACGTTTTCATCTTACATTCTTCATGAGAATCAGAGAATGGTTTAGGTTGGAAGAGATGTGCTGTGTCAGGGACACCCTTCCAATAGACCAGGTTGCTCAGAGCAACACTTCCAGGGATGGGGCATCCACAACTTCCCTGGAGAACCTGTTCCAGAGTGGCACTGACTTCACTGTAAAAAACTTTTTTCTTGTATCCAGTCTAAATCTACTCTTCAGTTTGAAACCATTCCCCCTTAAACTGTCACTACAGACCCTGGTAAATGTCCCTCTATCTTGTATGTGCCCTTGCAAAAAATTCATGTCGAATTCCCTGCTTAGTTATGGACATTAGAAACTGAGGAAAATTCTGCATCTTCCTATGATATCCTCATACATCTACCATTCAGTCTTGTTCAGCTCGGGTCACTAACACTTCCACCCAGTACAGACCACGTCCTTAGCCTTGCACAGTAGAAATTAGCTTTGCTGTTAGTGCTAATGAAACATGACTTCCACTACTGGCATCTACCTTATTTGTAGATACAGGGTAAAATATAAACCTACCCTGGTTTTGCTTTCTGTATTTATATAGTCATAGTTACAGCTTGACCAAAATGCTGGAGAACAAGTGCTCTAGGTTAAATGTGTAGAATTAACATGAATTATAGCTGAAACATCAACTAACCATCCTAATGAGATAAGATGTCCCTGTTCCTGAAGCTGCCCAAGAGAAGATACTACAAGAAGTCAAAGCCTTTCCACAGATTAAGAGTAAAATACCACTTTAGCTTCACCACTGATCAAGCCTTGCTACTGAGACTATAGACAAACATGTTCTACCCACACTACCATATGCATAAGATCACTTGAGCCCATAGAATTTTTTGCAGATCTGGGCCTTCAGACTAAAGGAACATATGTTTGTGTCATAAACATAACATTCAAGTGTTCGCAATGTCAGAAGTTCCCAGGTTAAACCTGGGAATTTAATTGGATAATTTACTATCCAATTTAACTCTACTTCTTCATATGCTGCCTTAAACACCTACACAGTGCAGCATGAGAGTATCACAGGAAACTAACAGGAAGAAAAAAAAAGTATAAACCTCAGGAATTAACAGCCTTGATTGATTAAATGTTAGCCCAGCAAGGTAAAAGGCTAACTTTGAATCTCTTCTACCCTTATGGGTTTGTTCCTGCAAATACTCTGGCTTTTGGCAAAGCTAAGCACATGCAAAAATATTTTCTAGAGCTAACAGGCACTTTTATTAAAGTTTGCCTGTAACTTTTAAGAGTTAAGGCACAACATAATATAAACAGATCAGACCTCAGTATCCTGATGATGGACTACCACCAAGTTATCCACAACATTCAGTGCAAACTTCCCAGTTCTGTTCAGCTTTAAAATGTGAGTCTTCTTACAGGAGCCCTCTCTATGGAAACAAACAGGCATGAGAGCTGGTCAGTAAGCCTGTTTAAAGTAGAAAACAAAATGTCTCCTATGTGTGTATCGCCACCAGTGTTCATTCTGTTCTTACCTAGGTAAGTGATAGAGGACTACTTCTGCTCCTGTACTATTGGAAGTCCTTGAGTGATGCCTCAAATAGAGAACATAAAGCTGTCCATATCTAACAAAACAATAGGATTACAGAATTATTTTCAAACAAGAGCTCTAAGCAGTCTAGTAGAGTCATACATTTTATCCTAAAAGAATATGTGAGATTACTTAGGTCAAGTAACCAATTAAGTAAGACTAAATCAGGACTTGGTATAAGATACTTGACATGGCACAGCCTAGACTCATGCAAGTTGGGCATCTGTGACCAACTCTATCAACACACCAGTTAAAGAAATAAACATTTTCAAGATTTCTGTAAAATTCAAGAACAATTTAAGGTGAAACTTCTCAGTTTGCTGAGATACTGTTTAGGATACTCTAGGATATTGTTTAAATATCACTAGGATAATGTTTAAAGGCTTTGGTCGTGGTAGTAACTGAAGCACTTTAATGCAGTAGTACTGCTAGAACAAGAAACAAATGCAACCAAGATAATATTCTTATCTTCTCTCAACATCCCCTGAACTGTCACACTTTTCCAAGGAAGGCTTAATTAGTTAGATACATACATTGTAGCCATAGCAATATCTCTTTCAGAAAGGCTGAGCTTGGATGACTTCGGTGCTGCAGGTAACTCAATTTCAAATTTTGATAGTTTTGACATCGTTCCACTCTGTTAAGTGGGAAATAATAAATAATTATTAAGACATGAACCAGAGGTCTCGAGCGACCTTTAATCAAATGCTGTAACAACAGCACTCCCAGGAGGCCAAGAGCAGCAATAGCCGAAAAGAAGGCATTGACAAGAAGTGCGTGACTCAACACATGCTTCTTCTACCATTATAATTTCAGCAGCTTTATCATCTTGATTTTGTAACATCAGCTTCAGCTAGAAAAGCCTTTCAATTTTAGTAAGTCAAGACAAATATCTATACAAATCCCATTTACAACTGACCTAGATATCCCAAATAGCAGCTCTCTTCCTTTCTCTCTTCCAGAAATGTACATGCTCTAAGTCATGAATAACTGCTTACTGGAAAGGGGAAATATTGGTATCTCCTACCAGTCACAGTTTCCTTTAGTTCCTGCTAAATGCACAATCTGCCTTATACTCAAAGCATATCTCTGCTCCTGCACAATGTTTCCACTTTACTATGGGATTTATATTTAAACAAGTTTTTAGAGTTTCCAAAGCTTCAACTGAAATTCACTTCCCATTCTCATTCATTCATTCGTGAGTGTGAAGTGTGAATGCTACAGCAATAACTCTTTTGCTAAAGCTCTATCTTAAAAGATTTCAGCATGGCACCTTTCTCAGGAGACCTTTAAAGATTACCTTCTGAACACAAAATAAGAACTATTTAGCTTCAAGCTGCAACTCAACACAAAACATTAAGGAGGGGGAAGCATGACTTAAGCCCTTAGAAAGAAAACTGTGAAAGGCTAGTAAGTTCCACCAGCCACCTAGAAGAATGTCATTTCAGGATGCAGTACACACCCTACACATGATCAACACAAACCAGGAAACCATTTGAATAAGCTGCTTCTTAATCTCTTTCCTTAGACTATCACAGAAATCTTACTAATCCGTTGATGGAAGCAAGACAAATGCTGTAGTTCTTCATCTTATAAATCATCTGACTGCGTGATTAACTTAGATTCTAGCTTTCACTACACACTTTTTCAAGACAATAAGAAAAATACTTTCCCAGTGAACTTAAGCATTGTCCACAGGGAAGAACACCAAGAGAAATAAATACTGTAAACAAACTATCTCATGCTTAGGACAATAGCTGTTTCTTAAGCGCTACCTTTTGTCTTTCAGAATCATCCCCTCACGCTTGGAAGGTAATTATAATCACAAATGAGAGGCCCTTACTTTTTATTATCATACTAGAGAGTGCCAAAGCTCATATGAAAAGTAAATAATATATACTTAATTGAAAAAAGATCTCTTGAAATATATTGAAGTTGCCAAATATTGTGTCACTATTTTTTTTTCCTCCATTCTTAAGGTCCAACAGTAGCTGGACATGCCTCTTTCCAAGGAGAACATGAGAAAGAGCAAATTACTTAATTCTAAGATATCACCTTGGAACTACCTCATAGATTTTTGCTTTGTCCTTTGCTTATAGTCATACAAGGATGTGAACACATGCACCTCTTGTAAGAAGCCCAAGAAAAGCAACAGAATATTTGAGTGAAGAAGCAGTCTACAAAGCAGCACACAAAATGAAAAGTTTGGAATACATCCCTTTACCTTGAAATAGAATGGCTGCAGGACATTGCCAAGGACAGTGGTTGAAAGAAGAATAACAGAGCTCTCTGGACAATACATGTACCAGTTGACATTAATACTCTGATTCTTCAAAAGTTTTAAACTTCGTTTCTCTGGTAATACCTGGAAAAATAGGATACTAGCATTGTATTACTGTCAGTATTCCAACAGCGAAAATGGTACTACACAGTCACTAGGACTGTTAAGTGAGAAACTGTTAAGTGTAAGGGCATCTACAGTGCTAGAATTAAACCTCAGAAATCTGACAATTACAGCTTAGGCCCCAGTTTACTGTAGCTAAGGGAATGCACATCAAATCCTCCTCAGATTTTAACAAGCTGAAAGGTGTTGTGTCTTCCCCTCATCCAGCTCTGGATATAGGTTCTGTCCATAATGGAGAAAACAGCTAGCTTGACACAACTAGTGAAGTTTTAATAAAAAGGTATTACAATAACTTTGCTACCTACACTCCTCAGCTTCCTTAATCTTTTATTTTAAGAACTAAGACAGTATATAAATTCTCCTCATTTTAAGGGCTTAAATAGCTTTTCTTTAAAAAACATGCTTACTCAATTCAGCCCTTTTATTTGCAGGGCTGACATTCATAATCCTTTTAGGTGCCATATATATTCCCCTCCCCCCAGTCAGCAGTAAATGCTGCTGCTTTTTCTGTTACTTTCTTTAGTACTAGTTATTAGTAACAGTAATTATGTGAAACACCATTTCTTAGCTCCAGGACTGGAACTATTGGGAAGTGCACAACTTTGGAGGAAGTTTATAACATTCCTCATCATGAATGTCAGAAAGGGCTATTTATTCATTAGATTTCTTCAAAAACATGTGCAAAGGTAAATACACATAACATAGAGGAATGCAGATAATGACATCAACACAGGAGAAAACTGCCCCTTTGCAGGTGGGTATCAGTATCTAGTCAATTATTTGTTCTTTGCTGCATTTTAAGCATGCACACATCCTCCCTAATGCTGACTTGTTTTGCATGAAGTGGTATTTCACATTAACCATACATATAATATATGTATATGTGAATATTACATGCAAGCCAAGAGCATCTATCAATCTAGAGTTCCCAAGGCTTAACTGACTACTCCTTTATACAAGGTCTTTGTTAGCTGTGCTAAATAACCTGTTGATAATAAATTCCCTCTGCCCCCAAAATGTATTCCTCTCAAAGAAAAATAATCACAGTCTGTAAACAAAATGGCAGAATTTCTTTTTTTAGTAGTGTTCTTTCTCATTGAGAGAGCTATAAGAAAGGAATTCAAAGACACCATCACAAATTCTCTAGATACGTCCTGCAGGAGTTATTTGTATTACCTGGTAGAATTCAATTCCTTGGTCTGTGATGAAGACAATTTCTGTTGAGCTTGTCCAGCAGAATCCTAGAATATTGGCGTTCTTTGTCTTTTAACAAACAAGCAAACAGACACTCTTTTACTTGGCATAATTAACTCTTCAGATAAGCTAATATTACTAAATGAAGAACACAAAACTAAAGGTGACTTAGTTACTGAATCACTGGAGTTAATATTTTTGGTCAACTGGAGACCTTGCACCAGCTACTTATGTAAAAACTTCCAAAATTATGATTGAACACAAGTACTGTATGACCTGAATTTTTGGCAGCATGTGAGATTTACAAGTTTATTACACAGTCAAATTTTCTTTTCACCCTAAATACAACCAAGTTCTGCTGGTTCAAACCATACTGCAAATTCAACCAGTTCCTGCCATGAAAAGCAGGTTCCTTATGTTGACAGAAATAAAGAGCTAAGTGGAAATATCTGCCATGACTTCAGTCAGAACACTACCATAAATGCTTGGCTAGAATTATTTACTCAAACACCTAATTCTAAATAATGAAGCAGACTGCTTCAGCTTTGAAGTCTACAGGAATAAAGGGATGTCTGCAAATGAGATGTTTAAAAATTTACTTTAGGATATCCCTAAACGTAACTTATCTTAGTTAAAAGTTGGAAAGTACCAAGTAACGTTTCTGGTAAAATAATAATAAAAAAAATAAAAAGGGTTGTTTAAAAATGCCAAACAGTCCACAAACTAGTAACAGTTTACTATCACTGATCAGTGAAATTAGGGTAGAGCATCCACATCAACGTATCTGGCATTAGTATAATTACTGTCTGCTGTTTCTCTGTCACAAGCACTTTGTCTCTTCTTCCCAAACCCTGACGTTTGTTGCCTCAGCATTTGTTGTCACAGCATTTCCAGTCTCTTCTAGGAAAGAATTAGTGACTGGACCAGGAAGGTTTTTATGGTATTGTTAATACCTGTTTGTTTAATTCAGATAGGCAGTAGTAACTACATATCTCATTTATTTAACGTTAGTGTTTGGGAGGTATCTCGATGAGTTCTCTTGTAGAGTAAATGCCACCAGCATAGTAGAGCTTCACCTAGGCATATAAGCCTGGCACCTTTAACTTACCTTACATTCCTGTGTATACTCTAGCTGAGGGCTATCTGGAATAAAGTTCAAAAAATCCTGCAAAAACACCCAGGAAGCAAGTGTATCAGCAACTAAGAAGCACAAATATACATATATAGATACAAGAGAATAGTTATGAGTTTTTCAAATTATTTTGGATATATCAAAGATAAATAAACATAACTCACTATATTCCACTTCACCCCTGACATGGAACTCCTTATAGAAGCTGGCTCCCCCCACGCCTTTTCTTAAATGATGACACTAGCAAGACAACAGTGTTGCCTGCTCAGCCTCTCAGGATGATAGAGGAATTTTCACTGCAGCTGTTGTTAGCCACCAGACCTCTTGGATATTTATTTGCCTGAGCTTCTACTCTGGTACTGCAAGTAGAAGACTTCCAGCTCCAATTCCCTGTCTGTAGGGTGTAGGTTTCTTACCACACTCTTCAAAGTTCTCTGCACAGCCAGTATCTTGTTCCCCAAGGAAAATTTGATGCACTTCACTTCTCCTTTGTCTTCCATCCTACACAGAAAGGAGTTACGGAAATACTGCCTAAAATAGTTTCTTACAGAACTCTGTAATAAATCCTCAAAAAGACAAGAGGAAAAAAAGTGTAATGCAAATGCTTTTGAATACAACTTATGAGTGTTGCTTGACAAGTACAGGATTCAAAATTCAGACTGGAAGATAATGGTAGTCCTGACTTAGCACCTGAACTTACTACAAATGCTCAGCTCTGTTGATCTATGATGCGGAGTTGGGATGACTGTGAGACCATTCAAACCCAAGTTCTCAGTTCTGTCCCAGTGAATCTGGACTTCTGTGACACTCACCAACATCCTGCAATCACTCCTTTACTTCCAGAACTACTGCTAATTGACACAAGCCTACCTGCCTCCCCATCAGGACACATCCTCTAGAAGAAATTCTGATGTTAAAGGGAGAGTGAAGCTGTTTTCATACTATTAAAAAGATGTATTCTTACCCAACAAGCATCAGTACAATTGGCATGAATTTGAGAAGTAGAAGGTAGCTCTACTTCCACTGTGCGTTATTAAGTCCAGACAAAGAGAGATAAACAGTCAAGCAGGAAAATTGTGGAACCTCCTGAAGTTCACTGAGTATTTTCAGCTCTCAGGATTTGTGACAAGGGTAGTCAAACAAAAACAGCAACTCTCAGGACAGGCCCTGTTCAATACCTGACAGATTGCAGTAAACATACTTCACTACAAATTGCTTCATCCATATCTGAATTGAAGCAATTTGCAAGTAAAAGAATACTTCCTTATGTATGAACAGGTATCAAAGAGCCATTGCTCTTAACAAAGGCATGTATAAACCAGTCTTCTACAGACAAAGTAGTTTCACTGAAAATAAATACTGTTGTCAGATTCTGCAAAAAAAAAGTTTCCACAAGAAACTGAAGACATGAAAAATAAGCCAATTTAGATTAAACAAGAAAAAGGATGCAAGAAAGGAATGCAGGAAACACCACGCTTGAATGACAGGCATGAAATTCAGAAATTATGGTTCTCTACATATTTAAGTTAACTTCATTTTGTTTAATTTACATCCTTGGATAAGTCACTGCTGCTGTAGGAATCCCCACACT